TTTTCTCAAAAAGGAACGAAACGAGCTTGCAATCTGACATGGAGATACAATCTCGACTCCCAATTATTTTCTCGGGTTTGGCCCCTTAAGCCAGACAACAGATAATAAAAAGCAGTATGTCGCGCAATACGGCTCATTTGACGACTCTGAAAAAAAATTATCCTTCACTCACCAGTAGTTGTGTCCAGAATGGTGATAGATTCCAAAGTGTTGGTAGATATCGAGGTTGAGGTGGATTCCGAATTGGTGGAGGGTGATTCCAAAGTGGTGGTCAATTCAGAAGTTGAGTCTGTTTATTAAAGTGTAAGTAAATGACAAGAACTGTTAATAAAGTGGTGGTTGTTTTTGTTTTTTTACCCCACTTGTGCTTCTAGTTATAGTACACCTTACGAGTACACAATGACGGTGAGAAAAGAATACTTCCTTTCATATAAGTATGAGAGGGCTGCGTAGCACTGTGATCAGAGTATTGACAAGAACATTGCTCTGAAATATGTGATTGCCAGGGCACTGGTGGCATATTATATTCTTGTCAATATACCCTCTTTAATAATGCGTTTGGAAATCTTGAATAGGACATGGACGACATTCAAGAATTGCAAAAAACGGGTCCATCAGGAGGAAACCGTGATTTATCGTGCCTCAAAATTTTAACTTTAAAGGCAAAGTAAAGAATGTTACTACAGACCCATGAGGGATCTTAAAAGAAAATATTAAGTTACAAGTCCGTTAGACTCTTCTAAGTTGGCCAGTTTTTAACAACACATTATGGTTGATCTTATCACATGTTTTCTGATAATCCACAGTCAGTACACTCATCTTCCCCATCTGTTTCATAATACCTTCGGGCAAGCAGTTCCATCTTCTTGGATAATGCTATGTAATTATATTCTTGCACGTTTACAAGGCTGTATACTAGCCTACTTATATCCTGGCATTGTGATGTGGATTTTAATTACTGAGGTAGCAGTTGGATGAGGTAGCGCACTAGGGTAGTGCAAGGCTGGTGCCAGACCCAAATTGGAGGTGGAGGCAAACAAGTAAGCAGTATCCCCAGTGCACTTTTTCCATGAATCGATTGCACTAGTGACAATTAAGCAGCTCCGCAGAAACAATCTCCTGAAGAACATGGCTCTGTCCATACCAAACAATTAAGTTCCATTTATATCTTCACTCTGATTGATTTTCAACAAAATCCTCATAGGGTTTTCGGGGGCTTGGCCCCCATTGCCCCTCCGCCCTTCGGGAGGTTCTGAAGGAGTTGGTTTTCTCTAACGGTTCATTAACAACAGTGGACGGAGATTCAGTGGGTCGAGTGGTAGTCGACGCACCGTCGTGCGTCCTGTCGTATGTCGTGTCGTGCGTCGTATCGTGCTTCAGGCGACGTAATAGGTGACGCGACGCACGACAAGACATACGATGAGACGCACAACGGTGCGACGGAAGGGGCGACGTTTAAGCGGGAAAAATGCAATAAAGAAAGGAAATGACAGTACGACGCGACGCATGACACGACACATTGTGCGTGTACAAACGTAATGGCAAAAAGGCGACGGTGAAACCCGACGGCACGACGAGAGGGAGCCGTCGCGTCGTGTAGTTGCATTGCAGGGAGGGAGGATAAAGAGACAAAGAGAGAAATGTGTGTCGTAAATAGTACACCAAAGTTTATAGAGGGCGCCTTTACTGTTTTCTTTCATTTCCGCTCCCCGTGTTTGCAAAGTACATGCTTTTCTTTCTTTGCATGCTGCCGTCATGGGCAGTCTGGAACTGGCAGTTTGTCAGAAGCTGTCAGAATTGCGTCAGCGTAGCTTTTGAAATATTGTCCAATCGTATGGTATACATGGCAGAAGAACTAACGCAGCGGCAGCATGCCCCAAATTACTAAGCAACAAACACGGGAATAATCGTGCCAGGTTGAGGCTGTGCAAGCCTGTGGTGGCAGCGTGCAAAGAGCGAATAGGTAACAAGTCTTGTTTCTGTGGTTCTTTTTCATGCATTCTTTATTTGTGTTTTCATTAAGAGGGAGTTGTTGAAGAAAAGGTGGTTTTTTTTGGGGGGGGGGGTAATTAGACATTAGAAAAGAGCTTCATGGCCAATAGTCAGCATTGTCTCCAGAAAATATATAACTTCCACAGTGTTTTAGCTTTTCCTGCTATAATTTTGATCTTGCTAATAATTATTTCTAAATCCATTCTAAGATACAGTACATCAATAATTATTACGTGCTTGCTAATGTAACATGCAGATCTGGTGAGAATTATATGCCCAGCCAAACAGACTTGAAGAAAACACACCGTCACAATGATATTATCTGTACAATGTTGTATTCAGAAACTCGGACTAATATTGAAAGTGTTGTGCTGATGAAGCTAACCAGGAAGACTGACCTGAAGAAAAACTAAGAATATTCTCAGGGTATTAAGGAGCAGGCTCGGTGGTAACTTCTTAAACCGTGGTCGAACTTGCAGCGGTATAATAATTGTAGACAAATTGTCTAGAGAACTGGGAGTACTACTTAGAAATTGCCGGAATGGACCACAGGAAATACCGGTTTCTATAAGGTTACAAATCTGGGCTTCCAATTATTATGAGAGAGCACTTCCTACATTGGCCTATGTGGATTAATTTTTCGCTATTTTTGTTCATTTTTTTAATAAAACAATCCTAATTGATAAATGGCTGAGATAACAAGAAAAAAAATCAACACCAAAGAGCAAATAGCACGTACTTCGCAAGCACGGGGGACGGAAATGAAAAAAAGTAAAGGCGCCCTCTATAAACAACATAAAGCAAAGGGCGACAGTACACGACGCGTCGCGTCGTGCGTCGTCTCGTGCTACGCAGGGCCCGACACGACATACGACTCGACGTACGACGAGACGGGCGACGGAAGGGGCGACATTTAGGCAGAAACATGCAACAAGGAAAGGATCTAAGACAGGACGACGCGACGGCACGGCACGACGTAATGCGTCGTGTGTGTACAAACGTAATGGCAACAAGGAAACGGTGCGACCTGACGGCACGACGTAAGGGAGCCGTCGTGTCGCCTGGAGGGAGGCTAGAGAGAGAGAGAGAAATGTGTGTCGTAAATAGTACACCATAGAAACCGTCACTTCTGAGTGAAGTCATTACATGGTTTTAACATCAGTGAATCGGACTGAATCATGCGCTAATTTGATAAATGTTCAGAGAAAGAACATAATTTGAAGGGAACAAAAAGATTTGGTATTTAATTTTGAGCCTATTTAGTGGTGAGGCTAAATATAGCGGCTTTTAGTTTGCACGCTTTGGTGGGACAAAAAATACAACTGTCAAAAGTCGTCTTTCTCGCTCAATATTCACACCCCGAAAGAATACTGACTTATTTTTTCAGGGGTAGCATGGCTGCGACAGCCCGTTTGCATCGCCCATTGGATCCACAAGTGGCAGGAACCTATTTCAATCTGGCAGCATCATGCCCCATGTGGGGACTCTTTTGAAAAAATCAAAAGAGTGAGGAGAGGAAAATGGAAGTAATCTGATTGATGTTTATTAAAGTCCTTTGTTATCTTTACTCCCAGCCTCCTGCGGGTCGCAGTGTTATTGAGATAGCCACCATATTGATGTACGATGTTTTGTGACGTCGTTTATTTCTCTTTTGGTGATTTACAATAGATACGAAATAGTAAAGAACAATACAGATATTTCCGAAAACACTGCAGGCTTGTGGTCTTTCCCATTTACCTACGATTGCACAGTGGGGATTATTCTGGTGTGATGGTAACATTTGGTGATGATACTCCCCTCAGTGGTTTAACATGTAATGGCAACGAATCTAGTAACTGACGTCAATAACTATCACTTGTAAAATGGTCTAGATATAGGCCCCCGAACAATCTTATCTCGAATGTTGATGAAACTAAGGAAGTGAAAATTGACTTTCGTAGAAATAAAGGTCAAATTGAATTATTTGCATTTAATGGAAGAAATGTGGAAGTTGTAGATTGTTTTTAAATTTCTCGGTACGTTTATCATAAACACTCTATCTTTGTCAATTCAAGTGTCTGAAACTTTGAAAAAGGCCCAACATTAGATGTATTTTTCTGTAGCCCGGAATCATCGGCGTGAGTAGATGAATTTTGATTATTTTTGTAGATGTGTTATTGAATCTTGCCTGAGTAGCCTTAACATTTTCTGGATCAATGCCACATTGGAGTGACATCGAAATACTCAGTCGCGTAACTAAAAGGGCATAGCGGATAATCGGAGGTAGGTTAAACGGCATGCAGACAATTTGCGGTAACAGAATGAGGAAGCGGATTAAAAATTTTGATCAGGATATGCTGCACTAGATTAACGAATGTCCTGATATGATGGCATTAGGAAGAACGCTAAAATCAGTAGGTGCTTGGACCGACCGTTTCAGAGATAGCTTCACGCCATCGGCTGTTCGAGTTTTTAACGATGAGTAGTTTTGAGGTATAAACTGTACAATGCGCATGTGTTGTAGCTGTAACAATATATACATGTTTTATTGAAGTCATTTTATGCGAGTATTGTTTTTATATGTCTATGGTGTTGCCATTGTGTTAAGTACGAGTGCAACATTATGAACTCCAATGACTGTTTTCTTTTTAAGATCATTGGCGAAATAAATCGATTTCAATTTCAATCCAAAATTACTCAAATTACAAAAGTCGCAAAAACGGTCTAAAGTATGAATTAGCAAAAGATTAAAACTATAAGACAACAGGACGGCAACAAAAACTGGTCTTACCTGTGTTCCCAACTGATATCATTACAAGAAGAAACCAGAGTGCACGGAATTGCGCCTCAGACCAGCGTCGGCGACCCATCTTGCTCGCCTAGGTCCACCGGCGATCGTTTTCACCCAAAATCCGTCAAGAAATAATTTGTTTATGTCGCTTCAAGTTTCACGTTTCCAGCTGCCTCAAAATGAAGCCCACATATGGTCTGGAGCGCCTACCGACACGACCGGAGTTTTGTTCTTTAGTCACCGCACCTATTTCCTTGATTGACAGCTTGGGATCCAATCGGTATGCATACGTAGAGCACGTGATGTCAAATCATGTTTTGGGACGTTCTTACTGTGCAACAGAGAAAATTTCGCTCGTCACCCAGCGCCCGAACAGGGCTTTGCATAGATTTTAGTGAAGGAAATAACGTCACACCGGGTCAAAGATAATGACTCCCAGAACATTGAGGTTTTTGTGTTTCTGAAAATATTCTCACTACACTTTACACGCTCATCAAGATATAACTTGATCAAGATAACCAATGATTTGAAATATGTTGCCCAGAGACATGTGATTTGTGATACTTAGAAGATAAATTACCGAGGTTGAATTGTAGGGATCTGGGAATTCCCCGTCAAATTTAGCGAATGGTGTGACCTTTGAACCTTGTGCACGTCTTCAAGTCGTGATTGGGCCCACGTGCACAGAATGCACACGAACAGTACAATTATTTTCTTTAAGTCTTGCCTGTCGGCCGGAAGTGGCCTACAATGTGATAGTTTTTTGTGGCACTGAAGTTGGGCGGGTTCCAAGGTTTTTTTCGAAGCGCGGAGAGTGCTTTGCGAGACTACTGGGTGGATGGACGTCGCGATGGCTCG